TATCTGCCCGTGTCCCCCCCGGGGTGATGCTCTGGTTCAGAGCTCGGGGGCAGTTCCAACACTCAAGCATCAGTCGCGCCAATTTGATGCCCGATTTAGCACAGGGACCCCCTGCCTGACATCCCCCCCCGCTGACCGGCAAATTAGCCGGGATTGTCACGGTCCCGAGGCGAGGTGTGTCCCCTCCCTCCTTCTCCTCCCGCTTTCAGCACCACGAGGGGAGCGGTCAGCTCCCGCCCGCGCTCCGCACCAGCGCAACCCGCGCGCATCGCTGCGCGCAGGGAGCCTGATCCCCAGCAAAGCTGCTCTCGGCCCTGTCCCCTTTGTCCCCGTCCCCCGTGTCCCCCTCGGCGGTTTTCTGGCGTTCAGAGAGGGATGGAGCGTTCCGCGGGCGCGGAACCAGCACCGCGCACTAACCCCCCCTTCCCGCCCTCCTTCACCTGGGGTCTCCCACTTCATCGCTCAGACCCCCAGTGGTTTTCAAACCACACAGGCTTGGCACGAAAGCAAGCTCGGGGGATGCGATTCTTGCAGCGCTGAAGTGTTATGATGTGGAGACAACAATTAAAAAAAATCTAATTACACAAACAAGCTATTAATTTAAAAAGAAAACAGGGAAAGGGATAGAGGAGGGTAAAAAAAAAAAAAATAACCCAAGCTCTTCCATTCATCCTCCGGATAATGGAATTTGCTTCCTTTCTCCAGCATGTGAATAGCCTAACAAAAACAACTTGAGCTTTATAAATAGCTTTTCATGTCCATTTAATGAAAATGATTTGGGGAAAGAGACGATTGTGCCATCAGTATTCTCCCGAGGAGCCTGGCATGCCGTTGTGTTTAGTTTGAAAGTGTAAATCTCTTTTGTTCCAATAATATATGGCGTTAGCTGCTTGTCCTCAGTCTTTTTCTGTTAGTTCATTACTACACAATTACCATTCACGCTTCATTAGCATCTCTGTCTCTCTTGGGGAGGTTCTTCCCCCCACTCCCCCCCCTTTTTTTTTTTGAAGGCAAAACTCTGCCCTTTTTATCATACCAATGCCATTGGGAACCAGGCAATGTGCTAATTAGCTGTTACTTTTCATGTCTTCAGATTGAATTCACCAACTTTGAGGGTGGGGGGGTGGGGAAGAGAAGAGATTAATATAAAAAGATGAATACTGATTGATCAAGACTGCATCTGAAGAGGAGCGGTTTTGTTCAGAATCAGAAAAGTCCTCATTTTCATCTCGAGCATAATAAAGAGTCTGAAATGATAAAAGCATCTGAAAAAAAAAATAAATCAAATGCTTCTGAGCAGGAGGGAAAGCTTTTTTATTTTACCTCTATCGGAGCCGGTACGCCTCGCTTTGCCTTTTCAGGCCGGAGACCTTTGAATCTCCCAACAAAACCGGCCACTATTTATCCATTTTACACGTTTGAGTTGATAGATCTAATCCCAGTGAAAAGGGGGGGGGGGGGTTGGTTAAACCTAAAGATTCTT